TCAAAAGAGACCTTATGTTCTTCTAATGGGCATGAGAAATGATGCTCATCCTTCCCCCCGTATGGAGCACAGTGCCTGGACGCAGCCCCAGTACCGCAAGGATGGATTCTGGTGAGCATCACGACCCTTCGGGCTATACCCAAACCCCATGTGTATGGACCAGCAGAAAGGCAACCTCTCAGAGGGGAATGCAGCCTGGCTACCCTGGTGGGGATTCTTGGCTTGCTGCCTGCATTTGACACATGTCTTATTTCATATGAGCATTAAAAAAAACCCCTTCCTTTTCTTCAGCATCCCCAGCACAAGCTGGTTAATTGTTCTCAGATCTGCAGTCTCCAAGCCAGTGGCATGAAAGCTCTCCTCTCCATTTGCTGTAAAGCCCCATCCAAACCAACAAATTCCACATATAAGGAACATGCTTTCTTTAAAGGTCCTTTACAGGAGCAGGATAAACACCTGCGCACGAGCTGATGCTTGAGACTTGAAAATCACGTTTCAGGCAGCAGCTTGGCACAGGCAGAACCAGCTTCTCAGAAGGGCTGTGCAGCCACAGGGCTGCCCAAATGGAGTACAGCAATGCCTGCTCAGCACTTCTCAAAACCAGAAGGGGAAATCCAACCAGACCCCACTAGATGCTCAAATTAACGCTGAGTGGTCAGTCTGGCACCACTAACCCCAGTGGAAAAGTTTTAACACCAATTCCTCCCTTCAGTGCAAAGCAGTGTTAGGAAAATCCCTTTCACTCAAAAATGCAGATTACAGGAATTCTTTACTTCTATCCAGTACGGAATCAAACATCACTATTTAATACTACTTCCTTTCCTGCTAATGTTCATGCTCAAGTGAGTGTCTCTGGGATAAAGGACTCCTTTCAAAATAAACATGGTGAATTCTTAGAACTCAGCTAAGCAGGAAAGGAAATCCCCTGAACGAACCGGGTCCGATGCAGGGGTTTGGAGTTACACGCTGAGCAACTTTGCTTGTTTAACAGAGAGGCTTTCTCCAGGGTAATAAAACTCTCACATTGCTGTGCCAGGGATTTTCCATGAGGTGCGTGTCAGCGGGTGGTGGGAGCTGCAGTTTCTGTGGCCGGTCATAGAAATGGAGTGAGATCACCCCAGAGAAGCCGGCCACAGATCCCAGTGAGTCCACAACAGCAAGAACTGGGAGGAGAGCTGGAGGAAGGGAGGTTTGTATACAGCTAATGGGCCCCCCAAGGGTTCTTTTTTCTTATGCATCCAGTAACTAGCAGTCACGTCCCAGTCTGATTAAACAGTCCCAAGGCTTCTCCATTTTTCTTCAACCCAGGGGAAAGTCTCTCGCTAGACAGGCTAAGTGAGGCAGATGTATAGCTCCATCCTCTTCCTTCCTGCCTAAAAATCCACAAGCAGCCCCACAGCATGGAGGCAAAGGGCAATGCAACACAGCTGGGCCTCTCTAAGGAATGCAATGGTCAAACTTCATACGATCCCCCAGTTATTTGTACTGTAGTATCATAGAACCATAGAATATCAGGTTGAAGGGACCTAAAGAATTAAGTGGTCTGACTATTCTTTGCAAAGCATGACCTACACTAGATGTCCCAGCACCCTGTCCAGCTGAATCTTAACAGTGTTCAGTGCTGGGGAGTCCATCACTTCCCTTGGGGGGATCACTCCAATGGCTCACTGTTCTTGCTGTAGCAGGCTGGGTCACAACAGCACTATGAGCATCTCTCTTAAAGTTAAAATTCTGACACACTACATTACATCACACAGGTTCTTCTTGCTTGTGTGTGGATTTGTACACATGGGATGGTGCAAAAGAGAAGTATTTTTCAAGGTGTGAATGCAAGGATACTTAGGTCTTGCAGCTGTAAGTGTTTTTTCCCTAAAAGGGAAGACAATGCAACAGTTTTCCAAAAGACAGCTTTCTTTTTGATGTAGTTTCCATTTTACATGGCACTGGTTTGGGGATGTCAGTTAAGGTTAGTGGTCTTCAACCTTCTGTATCTTGGTACTGCTTTCCCTACTAGTTGCAATCAACTAGCACAATAAGACAACTGATGGGCTCCATAAGAGCACAGCGAGCTTGGCTGTGAAACAGAAGAACATATATTGACTGTAGCTACTCCTCTACTATCAGATTTCATCATGGTAATGCTAATGCACAGTAAACAGTCAACATTTCCCTGACAAGACCATGATACCATCACAGACCTCGCTTTTAGATCAGGTCAATACCAATCTACAGTTTCATGATGTAAGATTTCAGAATGGGCCTGGTGCCTCCAAAGTACCAGAGTGGATTGATGAAGGTGACACAGGGCCACCTAGGAATCACAGCACTGCTCCTGCAGCAGTGCTGGCCAGCCTGACCTTCAAAGATCATTTTCACTGCTCAAAACCACCACAACATCCCTCAGGACAAGTCCAATGGATGTCATTAGCTCCTTCAGGAGTACAAATGTTGACCGGGCTGCTTAATGGCATGGCTCTCCCAAACACAACCTAATGAGGCCATGCAGCACCCAAGCTTGTGTGGGGAATGACTCCCACCTCCTTTGCAATCAAGTGCGTGGGATGCTCATGGGGCAGGGGGTAAACGCTGGTTGCCATGGAGGTATATCCAATGTTATGGAATTTCAGGACTGCAGGTAAAAAGACACTGCTGAAATGACATATGGAGTGATCTTTAGATTTGCCCTCTAATTGCTCTAAGCAATGTAGCAGTGGGGGCAAGGCAGCAATGGGATTGAGGAAGCAAGAACACTGTGCAGAGGGAAAAGCAAGCACTTAAAATGGCAATGTGAAAGGAAAGAGCTCGACAGAAAAACTTAGGGGAGGAAGGAGCTAAAGGCCTGCAGCAAGCTCACCTTTAGTGGAAACACTTGAATTACTTTATACTCTCCCTCCTTGGTTGAGGCAACAAAGCATGGGATGGCTCTGAAAGATTTGAAACCGACTGAATCCCACTGGAAGGATGGGTAGAGCCAGCAGCAGATTATGTGAAACCAATAAATAAGGGGAAAAAATGAGACAAGGAGGAAATTTTTATGGGGGAAAAAAAAAAGACAGTGAAATCATGTCTTGAGAATGGATGCGCTTTTTGAGAACCCTTTCCAAGAGATGGCCAGGAGAGGGGTCAGATCCATTTACCATCTTGCACAAAGCACCAGGCACCCTGTGGATTCATCTGCAAGAACGTTCCTTCACTGCAAGAAAGCATCCTAGCAGCCACAAGCTGCTGAGGCTGAACAATCTGACATCAGCATCCTTGTGGGAACGAGGCATGGACCACCAGGTATGCACCGAGGGCCTCCTGGGACCAGCCCTGGACCACCTCTTAGCAGTGCACGTGCCACGTAAGGTAGCTATAAAATGTGTTTCTGCAACCTGGTGTGTTACATTAGTGCCTGCACTTGGCATTAAACAGCTACTATATTCTGTCTCCCATCCAGAAGGATGGTGGCCTTAAGTCGGTGCTACAGGAACTTTAAAATAAAACACAAGCATACGTTCAGGATGACTAATGCATTCCCTGATGCTTACACAGAACGTGTTGGAAAAGTTGCTTTATTTTGTCTCCGTCGTTTAGCAAATGTGACTCCGCATCCGTTGGGCTGGGCTGAGGGATGCAGACAGGCTCACGAGGATGTGGAGACATGGCTTGTCTCAGTGGGGACAGCTGGGGAGCAGTTAGCACTGAGAACTCTACCCAAAAACCCTGCTCTGCAAGGGGCAGGGTGATTTGCATTCATGTTAATGCTGAGCCTCTTCAATTTAATTAAATTCGGGGGCCAAGAGTCCCCTGAAATGGCAGCAGTTCCAGGACAACCCAGTCAAGGGGAACAGAGGCTTCTCATGGGCTTTAAGGCAATAAACCCCAGTTCTCAGTTAGTCCCATAGGTCCTGTTTGCTACAGGAGGGTGATGGCAATACATCAAACCTTTTGCTCATCCTCTTCCTTCCCTGCCATCCCTGGCTCCCGCCCCAAATCACTTCAGCCCATAATCATTAAAGGTTGCCACTACTTTGGCTCTTTGCATTCACAACTCACTGCTGACAAGCATCTAAACCTGAGCTGGGCACACAGTGCCTGTGTCTGGGTGAGAGGTGAGTTCTGAACAAGCAAGCAGGTTTCCTTTCCCAAAGCATTATTTCACTCTTCTGGTGAGCTAGTTTGATCATCTACTAATGAAATACTTGGAAATAAAAGCAAACATCAACCAGCAACTACAGAAAACCACAACCACTGACTAATTAAAGCCTTTTTCCAACACACAAAAACCAAGACCACCCAATAGCAAGAGCAGAACTGAGGAATCCTGGCAGGGATTTCTTTCAGCTTTTTGCCCCCTTCTGCAACACACAGGGAGGATGAACTTTAATTGTATCCCACAGACACACTACTTATGAGCTGGGTTGCAATTTTTGAGAAGATAAGCAGCAGTATTAGAACCATGCTGAAATACTGAAGAGTACTCGGATTACCTGGAGCAGAGAATTCAGATATACATCAAATTTAGAGCTTGCATCTGTTCTGGTTTGAGCTACTTTGGTTGAGTGGCATTAAAAACCACATGAATACAGTCCTTTCCTCCCCCAGCAAAAACCCAGGTATCAGAAAAGCCCTCCCCACATCCTCCTTATAATAGTAACAGCCATTGGGAACATCATTTTCAGGAGGCTCTGGGAAGATTGAGAAGATTTGGAGAACACCTCTGTCACATCAGAGACAACTAGAAGATAGATCTGTGCCCTTCAGCCGTCTTTGCCCAACCACCCACTCAGAAAAGAGGCTGAGGTGCTTGCTAAGTTAATGACAACTCAAAGATAAAAGGAAACTGATGCAGCTTTCCAGATCTCAAGGGTCAGGTTTTTACAGTGGCTGTAGAAAGTAAGCTGAAATCCATCACTTCTGCTCACCTCCATGTGGCACCTTCACTGACTTGCCATCACTGTTATCAGTAACTCCTATCCAACTGTGACACAAAAAGAGAAATGAAAGGAGACACTTACCCTCCTTCAAAGATCTTGATCCGGACTGGCTCTCCTCTTTTGGTTACAAGAGCCTCTTCTTCTGGTTTTCCTCTTTTATCCTCTTCCTTCTCAGCTCTAGTTATATCTTTTCGACCTTCATTAGAAAGGAGCGAAGGCAAATGAACCTATCTCCCCAAAAGAGCAAAACAACCAATGATTACATACAAAATCACTCCACGACAGACACAGACCAAACAGTCTCAGAAAGAGCCAGCAACCTACCGCACATGCTGCTCCTGACAGCTAAGTGCAGTATTTAGGACACCCTCTTAACGTACAGGGTGTCTGCTTCTGGATTTTGAGCCCTGCTGGTTATATTTACTGTGATTGCTTACAGGTTCTTAAATCACCCCTGGTATATGGTAGCTCAATATTATCCAGCTCTTGCCAACTGGAAAACTGAGGCATAAAGAGAAGTGTCTTGGCTGGGTCACTCTGAGCATGCGGTGGAGCCATGGGTCTCTGCTCCCAAATGCACTTCTCTGTCCTTGGATAATCCTCTCTCTAATATCTACATCTACTAAGGTCTAGAGAGAAGGCATCTGTAGAACTCACACATTTAACCTCAACCTTTGGGTTTCCCCCACATATACACACATTCACACAATTCTGGACTTTAGCCATCTAAACGTGATATAAATCACTTGACAGTCAAAGCTCTTGGGTGATTTCCTTTCCCTGAAACCCTGTTGCCAAGGGCGCAGTACAGAGGAAGCCACAAAACCAAAGGGAGAAAATAATCCTCAACCTCCCCAGATGCTCCCAGGGTAAAATTTGCTTTTCCACTGTTTAAATTGCCACCCCTTGTTTAGACCAAGGTTTAAGTCATGCACTCGCATCTCATCTGTCATGTTTAATGTTATTTGTTACAGTATATGGACATATATACAGCTGCTTCTCCAGCTCTGTAAGATGCAAAGCAGAGCTCTTCCATGCCTGGAATGAAACCTGGATGTTGCCCTCCTTCAACATGAAAGTACAAATAACAGGGTTATCCAAAGCTCCAAAAGAGGAAAGCAGATTGCTTTTCACCCAGGTTACTCCTTATACAAGTGCAAGAATACCTTTCAAGTGCAACTAAATTACTCATATCCTCCCTTTATATATAATTCATGGAAACAGACTGAAGGCATTTGAGAGACCAAGGTTATTAGAGGGATTTTGGTCTGACTGTAGCCAACGAACTGGCAGAAGTCTAAAGGAGAGCTGGTCACCCTTGCCTCTACAGTTGCTGGAAAGACTGGGAGCTCTCAAGGGTGATTCACCTACCCCACCTTAGACACTTATCTTAAGAGGGGAATGAATCACCCAAGAGGTGCCTCTTTGTCTCCCATGGTTATAGGGGAAGCCAAAGAGTGACTAGCCCAAACCGAGACATGCAAAGTTCAGTGGGATGCAGCCCCAGCTCCCCAGCAGCATGCTGCTGTTAACACCCTCATTCCCAGCAGGAGGAAGAGGAGGGATGGACTCACTCAAGTGTAGCTTTGCAAATCTGAGGTTAAATATGTCAAATTTGCAGCAATTTCAGGAGCTCACCTTAGAGCATTAAATGTACCCAGGACTACTCTTTGCCCTTGAGTCCAGCTTGCACAGATTAGCCCACATCCGCACCATCAGACCCACATACCCTTCCTAGATGCCTCCTGGGAATGGTCCCTGTCTTATCTCCTTAAAAGTGCCCAGGAATTGCTTTGGAAAAGAATATCAGCCCAGGAGACAGAACAGTGCCAGGAACCACTTTAACAATTTAACAGCAGAAACAGTCTCAAGCTGCAATCTCTGGGCATGGAGATGTCTGTGCTTGGAGGAAATCAGGGGCAGGTGACACACTGAGCACCTTCAAAGATTAAACCTTGGCCGTTGTGACTTCACCTCCTGATATGAGCTACACGCTGGTAACAATGCTAGTGAAAACCTTCCCAGTTCAGCTCCTGATTTACTGAGGAATACAAAACAATTGACTTTCTAGATGTAGCATGAGATTTATTTATTGCAACTTTTGAAAGCACAAAACATAGACAGATGAAAGGCACCAGAGAGAGCCAAAATCATACAGTCACTACTATCCCCCTTTACAATCTTCTTTAATGTACAAAGTGTGCAAGCCCGATACAGTGCAATCATCCATCCCTACATGCACGCTGGAGCCTACAGTCACTTCAGAATTGATCTGCTCAATAAATCCCACTGGTAGTTTAAAAACCAAGCCAAGTACGTAGACAGTAAATACAGTACTACTGTTTGCTGGTAGCTTGCTGCATGCATAATTATACAAAATATTAGAGCTGGTTTACATTTTCTGTTGTGTCAACTGACAACTTATAGATACATAAAGAAGAAAATACTTAAGGGAAATAGCTAAGAGCGGAGTTAACTGGAGGTTGAACTTTCAACCTTGGATTCAGACTACTTCTACGCAGCTCGTGTTAATCGCATCTTCCTGAGTAACCGGCAACGCTCCTTGCTAACCTGTGCCAGTCGTGCGTACTTTAAAAACTAAACTGAGGATTTCACTCCCACTGATCATCTAATCAGAAGTTATTTCTCTGCTTGGCATGAGGTCCATTTATCTCCATTGCAATTAACATAATTTCTGGAAGTCTCACTCCTTTAAGCAGCAGGTATTAATATTTCCATTTAGCTTACACCATTTCCTAGGTGAATTTGGCAGGACAAACTGTTGCAGATTGTACCATGAAAACCTTAACTTTCTCCACCAGTCAGCTTATAGAGTTTTGTCTAAAAGGTTTTTGAGTCTTTTGAGCAAACGCATGCAGTGAACTATGTATTTTGATGACTGAGGGCTGAACCATTCCTGTCTAGAGCTTAACCTTTAACTTCAGGATATGAGGGTCTTGTACCTCTGAAGCACACGCTTGGTGTGCACTTTAGCACCATGTCAAAGAGCTAAGCTCAGAGGAGCACAGGCACTTCTATTAGAGAATGCAATCAAGGATGGTACGACACCATTCAGATACAGTCCTTTGAAGAAGAGTGCATAATATCAAGCACTAGTGTGGTTGTTGCCCCTGTGTCCCTAGAAATTCTATATTTTGGATTTCTGCAGAAGAATGATGGAAATGTTGAATAGAAATAAAGATTTATTGAGTCAAAGTGACTCTCTACTGTGTATTTTAAGATGCACTTATAAGCAGCAGCTGCAGCAGCAATTATGATAAATTTAATATTTAGCATTCATTTCATGATACAGAAATAAAATGAATAATCCATCAATATAAATTGACTTGAGATGAATATCAAACTGCAAAATCTTTAAAGCAATTCTGTTTGCTAATCTGCACGAACATGATCTGGATTAAAGGGATCTGTATGGTTCAGCATTAACCAAGAGGGGAGAAGTCTGTCCTCAAAATGAGATAGATAACACTAGGCAGCTACCAGAAGTGTCTTAAAGACTTCTGTGCCTTTATGGCCAATGCCTTTGGTGAGCTCTGCCCCTGCGAAGCTGTTTGCTTTGCTCCCCTTAACTCTAAAGACCAGGTCTAAAATATCCTTAGATACCCACAAAAGCAGGTAGACAGCTAAGGACATTAACTTAAATGGACCAAATGAGACGGGTGTTTTAACTAGACTCCATGTCTAAACTGCTGAGGCACTTTTATAAATGTCACTGCATGCCTTTATGCTTCTTTGGGGGCCTAAATACACTTGCAAATCTCCCTTTAATATTTTTAACTACTTTTAAGCATGCCTCTCCATGTTCATTACTGTGAGATCAGTAGATGCACAACCAGACAGAATCCCATTTCCCCAAGGTAATCCTTTTTTCGTTTTTAACATGCAAAATGTAGGGAATTATAACAGCAGTTAGGGAAAAAAAAAAAAAGGAGTAAAAAAAGTTGTAAAGCTATTTGAAATATCAAGACAAATGCAAATCAAGTCTAATCCTTTGTGCTTGAGCAGTGGCAGTTCATGGTGCGGTGGTGATTCCTACATGCTCTTTTGATTACAAGGCAAGTAGAAACTGGAGAACAGAAATATGGCACATTGCCTTGGAGCAGGCTTGCCTTTTATTTTATATATAACAGTGGGTTTTAGCTTCTTCATTCTAAAAGTTTCATTGAGAACAAGTGCTTACCAAACTGAGAGAGGGATGAATAAACTCCTATTAAACTAAGAATAGCAATTCCCCGTCCCTTGTCCCCCTCTTCCCATGAATCCAAATGGATGAGGAGAAATATATAGGATTGCATTACCTCGGTCATTTTTGGCTTCCTGGAGCTGGACGGGACAAGCCTGCCTGCCTCTGGACGTGGAGCAGTAGCCATGGTGTAGGTTTCCTTGCTCACCTTCTGCTTGGACCTCAGGAGGGACAGGGCTGCTTTAGTGGATATACCTGGAAGGTTAGGATTATACAAGCTAATACACCAGCTGGCATATACTGAAGACCTTCGGTCAGCTTGCTGGATATGATTTGGCTTTATGTAGTTTAAATAGCACCAACTGACATTAGTGGTTGTGTGGAGACTGGGGAACTGAAGTACCTTCTTCGTATCTGTACCTTCTCGAGACTTCACTGTACTATGAGTGACCTCAGACAGAGGTGCAGTGCTTGGAGGGTTTGGTGGAGACTGCTCCACCAGTTCTTTGGAGTCTTCTTTCTTCACGGGTTGCAAGGGTGCCTTGCTGAGGAACTGCTTGCCAGCTGGCTGCTTATACTCTTCCAGTGCCTCCAAACTTGGAGAACCTGAATGGGACACAGCTTGCTGTGAAGTACTGGGGATTTCCTTTGGCTCTGACTGCTCTGAGGACAAGCCAGGTGGTGTTTCAACCTCGACCCTCCCTTGGCTTTCTGCAAGCAAGTGAGACTTATCCTGCTTTTTCCCTTCCTCTATTGCACTGGGTGGCTTCACCACTTCCAACTTCTCTTCTGCTTCAGACACTTCCTCCTCTTTCACTCTCTTCTGCTGTTGTGTTTCCATGGTCAGCTCCAAGCTACCAGCTGGAGAGAGCATTCTTTTGCTTCCACCAACTGTTGATGTGCCTGCTTCCAGTCCAAGGACATTGTCTGATGGGGAGGTGAGTGGCATATACCCTTTCCGTTCTGGTAAGGGTAAGGGCACTCTCAGATATGGGCTCTGGAAAATGCTTCTTTGATCCTCTGTGATCATCTGTGCCAGATCAAAACCTAGTCCATGAACATCAGCGCTACAGACCAGGGTACCCTTGGGTTGGTGATCATCAAATTTGGGGAGTACGATAGAAGAGGAACTGCACTGGGATTGAGTGACCAGAATCTGGGAAAGCGTTGTGTACATTGCACTCCCATAGGATGGCATATTTGTCTGTATGCGAACAGGGACAACAAGTGACACCACTGGGTCTGACCGCGTAGGAACAATGAGCTGAGATGCAGATACAGTCGCCGAAGGACTTGTTGTGCAGGTCAGAGGATGCAACCTACTGTCCGAGTCATATTCCGTGCATGGGGAAAGAGTGGAGGCTCCCGCTGTTGCAAACAAACTGGATTTGATCTGTGGTAAATGTCCACCAGCTTCACCTGGCAACTGGAGAGCAAACTGAGACTGAAGGGGCAGAAAAAAGGCTGAAGGTATTGGTGAGGAGACGGGATAATGAACTGGCAGGAATGAAGGATGCTGCCTGAATGGCACCTCAGCTGGGTGAGACATCAGCGGAGGAGCGATATGAAGCGGGCCTGGGTGGATGAGCGTTTGTGGGAGAGGCAGTGGTGGGGTCTGAAATATGGAAGGAGGAATCTGAGGCATGGTGAACTGAGCAGAGAGGATGTCAGACATCGTGTGCGCTGCAAAGAGCTCTGCGGACTGCCCCGCCTGCGGCAGGAGGTGCTGGTAGGGAAAGATAGAAACCTGTGGGGACATGAACTGCTTTTCATGCAGCGTTAGCTGTGGTATGGGATGAAACACTTGCAGAGCTTCTGTGTACGGCTGGGTGTATGCTGGCTGAGGGCTGTCTTTTGGCTGGCTCTTTTCACTTGGGTAAGTACCGTGAGAGGGCAAAGGGGATGAAGATGTCGGCTGCTGGGGCAAACTTGTTGAAGGAGATTTACTTGTAGAAGGAATTGGATCTTCTGTCTCTGGCCGGCCTGTCGGGGCTGAGTCTGGCTCATGCTCTGGGTGCCTAGTGAGGGATGCTTGCCTAACTAGAAAGCATTTCCTTCGCTCCTGTGGAGCTGAGGAGGATGAGGGGCCAGGGGTTGAGGCAGGAGTGGTCGACAAGCTCCCGTAGTCAAATGATTTACTGCGGGTCTCGGACATCTGGGAAGGATGGGACACATTCGGTGTCTGCTCAGAAGCAGATCTCCGCATTTCCCTGGAATGGTGATGGTGGCTTGGTACCGTCAACATATGTGAGCCAACACCAGGAGGCTTTGGGTGGGATTCAGAGGGCTGGCTCGTTGACTCTGACTTGCCATGATCTTCACGATCAAATGAGACAGAGTGGCTGGAGCCATGGGATATGCTGCTTTCCTGACTTGGGCTTCGGGTGAGGGAGACAGATTCAAAACTGGACTCTCCGGAGGACTGAGCCATTTCTGCCAGCCGCAGCCTCTTCTTTTTTGGTGGAAGTTTCTCTGCTGGGAGCTGTGAAAGGGTCTGGCTCCTCTGCGGCCACTGGAATTCCTCTGTTTTCTCTGGCTCTTTCGGTGGTGGCTCTGGCTCCGTTTCTGGTCTGTCGGGCTCTTCTGTGACCAGAATCTCTGGGACCTGGATGTTGGGCTGGCGTACCAGCCTAGGCTGCAGGGAGTGAGGCGGTCGGCTGTGCTGGGGTGTCGGCTGAGATGAGTACTGTGGCAAGGGTTTGTCTTCTTCCAAGCTGCTCACTTGTTCGATAGAGTCAGACTTCTCAAAGGAGCTTGTGTGCTGGATAACAGAGATCTCCTTTGAGGTTGTCCTTCTCTCTTTGCCCTCTGCACTTGAAGCCAGTTTGGTATTCCTGGAATGGAAGCTGGCACTGACATCGGAAGGTGCGGGTTTACCCGGATCTGCTGGTGACTTAATGGATTCACGGGTTAGGTTTAACGTGACATCAGATGATGCTGGGTTTGCAAACTGAGTGCCTGGTGCAGTACTGGAGGAGGGAGTCTCAGACAGCTCAAAAGCTGGAGGCTCCTCATCATCACCAAGGCTCTTTTCCTTTCGCCTCTTTCGGAGCGGGGTGAGCTCCAAACTGCTCCCTAGTTTGTAATGCATCATCTGGGGCCACGTGTCAGGATCCGCAACACTTTTCTCAGTCTCTGAAGAGGTATGGGAAGTGGAAGAACGAGGCTTTGAGAGCTGCAGTTCTGAACAGTAGTATTTCTTATGGGCTTCATAATTGTCCCTTTTCTTATACCGAGCACCACATACGTTACACTCGTACATGAACCCTTTAACTTTCGGACCCTTCCGAGACTTTTTGGTAAGATCGCTTTCCTTGGTTTCAGGCTCCTCAGGAGGTTTGGAAACAGTTTCTTTGTTTGCAGAGCCAACCTCCTCTGAGACGTATTCTACCCCCAAAGGTAGCTCAATAGCTGGTTGTCGTTTTAGCATTCGGGGATGGGAAGAAAACGCTTGACTGCGGCTTAAGACTTCAGGCTCCATGATGTGATCATCAAATGAATAGCTACCTCTGAAGGTATGTGGGGAGCTTATAGTGCATGCAGCAGAAGGCATTGAGTGGCTTCTTAGGAGAGGCACTGTCTCTGTGGCACTGTGGGATTGCTGAAGTGACAACAATGATTGTTCGGGCTTAACTTTTTCACTGTGGGATGTCAAAACTTTCGCTGCATCCAACTGGCTACTGGAACCAGACTTGATGTCAAACTGAAACGGCTCTCTATATACACCAGACTTTGGAGATTCAATGCTGCTACGTCTAGATAAAGAGCTTCTTCTAGGCTTAACACTATCTATTTCACTGGTATCTACAACAGCTTCATTAATTGTAATTAGCTTAGTGATGTGTTCAATAACCTGTGTTCTAGGCACAGATAATGGTACCATACTAGGTTTCTCTTCACTAGACAGGTGGGGAAACCCCTGGGATGTGTTTGCACCTAACGCTGAAGTCCTTTGCCCAATTCTACCACATTTCCCAAAAATGATTTCTGCATAAGATTTTGCATTAGTATTTGGTGGGCTGATCTGCTGCTCTGCACTTTCTGATCTGGAGAAGTAGCCTGACTCAGTGCTCCCTTTGCTCCCGGGGCTCAGGAAAGCTTGCTCGTCTATGACCTTCTTCCGCTCGCTCAAGCGGAGTGCAAGCTTCTGCTTTATTGTATGGGTATCTTCGGATTTATGGCTCAGAGGATGGTCTGACGATGGCTCCGCAAACTGGGTGCTGTCTTCAAGAGACTGAGACATACTGGAATGAGACAATGAACACCGGTCATGGCTGGAGCCTTGGCTCCCTCCACTCAGCAAACTACTGGATAAGAGCGTGTGCTTCTGCCTGGGTGAGAGCTCTACCGAATGGCCCGACATCGCACCCGTTTCCTCCTCCGAATCTGTGCTTTCTCCTTCTGTTGGCTCTTCAAAGTCCTCCCCACCAATCCTCTCCATTTCCAGGCTCGATGGGTACATCTCTGCTCCGATCCCCGAGGCCAGCCCAGCTTTTATTCGATGAGCATGAGATTTCCTATGTTTATACAAATTGCTCTTAGTCTTAAAAGAAAAGCCACATGGAATGCAAGGGTATGGCCTCTCACCCGTGTGTGACCTGATATGTTTTTGGAGCACACTTGGCTTCGCACAAGGCCTGCTGCAGTACTGGCAAATATATTTGCCTGGCTTCTGAGGTTTCTTTTCCTTCTTGTGCACTTCTTCAGCTTGTTTTAAGGAAACCTGTGAAGGGCGAGGGATATAGACCTTTTGAACAGACGGCATGTCCTCTCCGGGAATGATCGGTGAATGGGAAGGTAAGAGCTGGCCGTGGTGAGAGTGAAGCCCGGGTGATGAAAAGGAGCCAGAGGGACCTGGTCTTACTGGATCAACTAGCTGCCATGTGGGACCTTCAAGGACATGCTCTGGTTTCCCAGGAGACATAAATGCTGGTGACAGTGCGTGCTGCTGAAGCTGCGAAACGTGGGGAGGATGTTCAAAAGAGGAAGGCTTAGGCTGCTTCTGATGTCCAGTCTTCTCCTGAGACTCCTCTCTTGGAATCGGCAAAGAACCAGAAAAGTGCTGCTGCGATATGATATCTCGGAGAGGGGTTCCTTGCGAAGGAGCAGAGCTGCCCTGGTACGTAGCTGCGGATGAAATACTGGCTTGGAAAGCCTCTCCTTTGGGAAGCCTCTTTCTTGGACTTTCCTCAGCCTTTTTTGTGCTCTTCTGGCTTTGTTCAGGATCCATGACCTTAAAAGGGTCTCTGAATGCTATTTCGGGAAGGTTTTGGCAGGCTTCATTTACGAATAATAAAGGTCTCTTCTGTAGATTCCCTGTTTTGCCTGCATTTGCTACGAAGCCGGAGCCGCCAGGAGATGGTTGTTGATTTAAGATTTTACTAAAGTGTCACTAGTTGCTATTTGATTCAAAAAAAAAAATGTTTCAAGGTCAATAAAGTTCACATTGGTAACACATGACAAACTACTTCAAAGAGAGAAAACTTTCCAAAACTTTTAGTCCAAATATTTTCCTTGTGAACTTGGTTAAGGCTTTAAACCTTGCCATTTTATTTCAGTTGACAGTGGCAAGCCTTCAAAGTCAAGATGCAACCCACAATGTGTCTCTTGTTTGTTATGCAAACCTTTGAAAACTTGAGAGTTTAGTGCTCATCTCACAATGATCTTTTTTTTTTCCTGGGCAAGGAAAATAACACTGAACGGTGTGTGTCCCCCTGTGTCTTCCTTCTGTTCCACTTTTGACTTCAAAAGTCTTGGAAAAGTATTTCCCACATTTCTGTAATTACATCCAAAAGAAAACAAACAGAAAAAATTACTTCAGCGTTTGTCTTGAAGCAATGAAATGCTGCTATGTCTATAGAGGGTAACAGTAAATATTTTGCACAAAAGTAAATCAGAGTCACTGACTGAAGGTCTGCCATTCACGAGACATTAATTTTAATGGTAATCTAAACATAAACTGTACCAAGTCAAACCTCAGAGTCTCATACTTAGTTCAATGCACACATAAGCTGGCTCTGCAACAGTAACTAAAGACAGTAACTTGAAACACAGACACTTTTGGAATATGTGTTAAAATGGTTTCAAACCTGAATTCCTTCTAATTTCCTGCAAATACTGATGGGTTTACAGGTTTGGTAATTATACTTCCCTCCCAAACAAACACCAAAGCAAAGCTGACTAAATACAAAGCACTGCCTAATGCAGCACATACATTCACTGACAAATAAAATGCAAATCTTTCCAGCATAAAACCCACTCTTCAGCTTGCAACAATCTTCAGTGTCATTTACAACAATAGCAGGTAAAGAGAAAGCACACGCAGTCTTATACTGAGATGTTGCCTCTTTAATTTCCTGCCTTTTGTCACCAAACAATGGTAAACCCAACTTGTAAAGGATGTATTTCATACAGGCGGGATGTCGAAACTGGCTGTCTATAAATGGGAACCCTTCTTACAATGAATTTGAATGGGAGGCTCTATTAAACCTACCTCCCTTGTCAGCAAATACAGCTATTACTGAGACACTTGGGGAGGAAATACTCTGATTCCACTGAAATAAGACAGCATCACCAAGAGATGGAATAGAAAATGGGTGGGATACTCCTAAGGAAAATAAGGATGGTGCTTTTAAGCAAAGAAAATTGATACATGTAATTTACAATGAGAAAAGAACTATCTTCTTTACAAAGCTATTATCTGCCTTAGGGTGCAGTGCCTTGCTATGACAGAATTGCAGAGGTTTAATTATGGGAAACGGCTCAAAGTCCTGCTGCTTTGATCCTGTCCCACGTAGTGGAAGGGTGCATGGATGCGGCTGAAACATAGCAGGGAAGCACTGGGGACTGAGATTTTAACTGCACAATGGCCCAACTTCATCTTGAAGAGAACTAGTGAAGTGTCAGCAGAAGAGGTTGGCTGTGTTCAACATGAAGTCCTCCAAGGATTACCCACTCCTTATTCATTCCTAAACCCTGTGGATTCTCCAAATTCAATGAGAAAAGAAAGACATGGAGTGTAATTTAACAGAGGTCCTACAAGGATGCCAGAGAGGGATTCTTTATGAGGGTCTGTAGTGATAGCACAAGTGGTGATGGGTTCAAACTGAAACAGGGGAGATTTAGGTTGGATATAGGGAACAAGTTCTTCCCTGTGAGGGTGCCCAGAGAAGCTGTGGCTGCCCCATCCCTGGCAGTGTTCAAGGCCAGGTTGGACACAGGGGCTTGGAGCAACCTGCTCTGGTGGAAGGTGTCCCTGTTTGTGGCAGGGGTTGGAACTGGAACCTTCCAACACAAACCAGTCTGGGATTCTATGATTAGTTATCATTCCAAATGTTCAGACCATCCTCAGCCTCTTCTGACGAACACATGGGCCCCAGCTGATTTGGTTAGGGATTCTGCACGGAAGTTCACATTTAAAGGACTGGTCAACAAACAAGCACACCTGCTGCCTGCAGCAGTGAGCACAGCCAGTCCGAAACCATCCACGCTGCTTTCCACATATTTTTGACATTACTGGAAATGGTCCCTGGCATGGGAATGGCAAGAGATCATTCTCCCGGCTGGATGTGGTTACTCCAGACTGATACATCCCCAAGGAAAATTCAACAGTGCAAAATAAAGTGGCAGAGAAAAACGAAGTCACAGAATCACAGACTGGTTTGGGTCGGAAGGGATCTTCATAGGGCATCTAGTCCAAACCCCCTGCAATGAGCAGGGACATCTTTAGCTATATCAGGTTGCCCAGAACCACTTCCAGCCTGGCCCTGAATGTCTCCAGGGATGGTGCATCCATCACCTCTCTGGGCAACCTGTGCCAGTGTTTCAGCACCCTCACTGTGAAGAATTTCTTTGTCACATCCAGCCTTTATATCCCTCTTATAGTTTAAAACCATGACCCCTCGTCCTATCACAACAGGCCCTGCTAAGATGTCCATCTTTCTTCCCTGTGAACTTAGAGGCATCGTAGAAGAAGGGAACAAGATGCCTAATGCTGCTCTGCCCAGCTCAGATACAGCCTAGGGTAGCTAAGAGTGTCTCACTGCATTACATCACATAAGAGATCATGTTCCTGCTGCTCTCCCTCTTGCCTCATGGGTCCCTCCAGCTGCCAGAAGTGAGGGACTGGTGTGGGTCAGGCTCCGTAGAGCTGGCTCCTTCTGGAAATGCAGTGGGACTAACACTGGGGGGGGGGGGGAGAAACCTACTCTTTCTTTTCTTCCTTATTGCCCTTCCAGTTTCTATTCTTTTCATCTCGGTCAAAACCTGCCCTCAGATTCAGCCTTTTAATATTCATTACGTTTCACCAGTTCTCCCCTTTGTTTCTCAGAAATGGCACATCTTTTGCTTTTACTTTCATCCCTCCCCCTTATGACCTGAGTAGCTTCTCCCTGTCGTGTTGTGCCTCTACTCGTTTTGCTCATCACTTTCACTTTGCAGGCGCTCTGCACTGGGCTCCCTGTAGAGCAGCACAGCAGCAGCTAACATACAGCAAGGCAGCACATGGGCTTTGGCACAACACAAGAATCACAGAGTCAGCTAGGTTGGAAAGGACCTTCAAGATCATCAAGTCCAACCATTCCCTCAGGACCGTGTCAGTCCAAACACTACCTCACTCCTAGAGACAAATCTTTAAGGAAAAAGTCCCATGGATTTTACTGTACATGGTTTCCAGCTGCTAACATTGCATGTCTGTGGCCAAATCCAGAGTACAGGCACTGAAACTGGGGATTCCAGCTATTATTTCTATTCAGACATCATTTCTTAGGGGTTTACTTGAGATGCAACTGAGTAACATGAACAGAAATGCCTGCTTTGTTCACGGTGACAGAAACAAAGAGATCAATGACAAAATCCCTTCTGATTTTAATGGGACAAAAATCTTACCCTCAAGCCTGAGACAAAATAAACAGAAATGCTTTTTTAGAAAGTCACAAGTGTTGGCATTTTGAATTACCTTATTATAGCAGAAATGAATTCCTGCATAGAGGTCCAGACACACAGTCTCCCCCAATCCCAAACCTCAACTAAGTCCACCTAAAGAGTCTGAGGAAGAGCTGACCAGTGTCAACTGCTAGGTCGGTCTCTCTGTGGCTATCAGCACCTCTATGCAGCCATCCACCCAAACAAGCTCTTTAACACTGGATTTGGGACTAAGCCCCCCCTAAGTGGGAAGAGAAGTGCTGGAGGCTGCACCTGACATGGGAGCTCCTGGTGGGAAGGAACATCACTGAAAAGACACTCACTGTTGTTCCTCAGTTCTTCCAAAAAACCTGCAACCCCATGCTTTATAAAGGCAGATAACGTGATGGCCAAAACATGGGGTGGAAGCTAAAGGGCATTCTGCTACCTGGAGATCATGGTCTTTGCAGCCAGCTCTCAACCGTAGCTGTGAACAGTGGGGCAGATGCCACCTTAGACCTTCAAAGTGATTTATGACTCAGAGGGATTTGCAATGCAAACAGTGGGCAGCAGCAGTAGATCTCCTGTCATTACCTCTTGTAACTCGACTCAGTAACACAAACCACTACTACAGCCAGGCAAAAGTCTATCAAAGAAAAGCAAAGGGAACCAAACAGAAATGCAGGTTCTGTTGCCAGGTTGAGTTTACTGCAAAGAGCAGTGCACACATCCAGGGTAAGCCACTAGGGAAGAAAACAGAGATTACTTACAGTGGACTCGGTAGTCTGTAATTTTGACGGTGTCTCCCTTTTGATTGCTCGCGATTTAATTCAGTCTGTAAAAGAAACAGCACGTTGGAGTTGTAACACGCATACATTAAAATGCCATCTCAGCAGTGAGCACACAGGACGTACATCAGGTGCCCTGATGGAGAGGATCGCTTGGTAACCAGAACAGTACACAAACTCAGTCCCAACAGCTGGAGAAGCCCTTGGTGACTGCATGCACCTCCTCTGGCACATTTATCCCAGGGGTGATGTGCATGCTCACAGTAAACACAGTGCCATGGGGTACTCCTCCTCCTGGCCAAGGCTGCAAGGGAAACCACAGCCTGGCTGGTGTCAGCCATGGCCAGATGCAGAGCAGACAAGGCAACAGCTCCGCACTCACACATGAATTTCATGGCAGCTCAGATATTGAGTATTCAGATCAGCACACAGGTGCTGCAGCCCATCCTCCAAAGCTTGTATTTAGTCCTCAGTTTTGCATTTAGTTTGAAGTAAACCACTCAGTTCCTCCACACTTCATAGCATCACAGAACATTTAGGATTGGAAAGCACCTTAAGCTCATTCAGTCTCACCCCCCTGCCACGGGCAGGGACCCCTTCCACTGGAGCAGCTTGCTCCAAGCCCCTGTGTCCAACCTGGCCTTGAACACTGCCAGGGATGGGGCAGCCACAGCTTCTCTGGGCACCCTGTGCCAGCGCCTCAGCACCCTCACAGGGAAGAGCTTCTGCCTGAGAGCTCATCTCAGTCTCCCCTCGGGCAGGTTCAAGCCATTCCCCTTGGCCTGTCCCTACAGGCCCTTGTCCCAAGCCCCTCTCCAGCTTTCCTGCAGCCCCGTTAGGCACTGGAGCTGCTCTCAGGTCTCCCCTTCAGGAGCCTTCTCTTGTCCAGACTGACCCATCCCAGCTCTCTCAGCCTGGCTCCAGAACAGAGCTGCTCCAGCCCTCGCAGCATCTCCGTGGACTCGCTCCACATCCCTCTTAAGTTGGGGACTCAGAGCTTTATTCTTTCTCAGTGGCAACTGGTTGCTAGAAAATAAATGATTAAAATCGTAATAAAAAGGTGGGGACTTTTTCTTTAAGAAGCATCAACTTTTTGTTTTAAAACTACAGACTCCTGCATTTACCAACACGATTCACACATTTGATTCTTAAACCCATTTCACACATGCAACATCTGCTGAGTTGCTGTGGACCTGCAGGGGGAAGAAGGCAAATCCAGCACTAAAGTCCAGTGACTTGGGTTCAATTCCCACACCGGTTACACATTTCCTGTGTGAAACTGGGCAAGTCAGATCGTCTGTGGGACGAGTTAGTCCCCATTTCTAAACTAGGGATACTTCCTCCTTTCACAGATGTGCTGTGAGTCATCTGTTAATGTCAGTCAGACCCTCGGATACTACGGGAAGGGAGAGACTCAGAGAGATAAACAGGGATCTATATAACTAGAAACAGATGGGAAGGCATCCAGGGGAGTTTCTCTGCTCATTGAAAAGTCTAAGATGGGATGCTGTGCTTAGTAACTTTCCCTTACATCACACGTTGTATCAGCAACTTCCCTTCTCACCTTTCCAAGCACCAAAGGGCTCCCATAGCTGCACCACAAGGAAAGCAAACAAACAAACGCAGCTCTCATTTTGCCAGCAAGGCATGTGCAATGGGTTAATCTAATTCATAAAACAGTTTCTCCAGAAAAGCGTTTCAGTCAGAACAGGGTAATTATTGCAAAATCTGCATATTTTAGAGCTAAATATTCCCAGAAATATCACCATTGAAACTAGACGGAAAAACGAAAACGGAGCAACAAGCACTGTGCAGCTTAGGAAGCCTCCCCAGCACAGCAGAGATCCTCAGACCATGAACAAACAGCAGCTGAGAGCTCCCTTCCTAATGCTAACACTCACAAATCCAGAAGACCCAGCAGTTTCTTCCTACCTTGAAGGTCAACACTCAGCTCTGCATCCTTTGGTAACAGTTTTAAGGCAGACCCAGCTCTTGCACAATGCCTCACCCTTGCTGCCTGGACCAGCACGCGGCTGCTCCATTTCCATCATCAAGAGCAGCAGGGATTTGAAGCCAGGCTGCTGCAGATATGGAAGGGCATGCCAGTATACCACTCATATTCCAGAGGGTTTGTTGGGTGTTTTTTACATTGTTAATGAAACTAATCCTGTTTTCTTGCTACCAAAACTCAAGAAACCCAAGTTCTCTCGCAGTGATCAAGCTGACCCTCAAGAGCCATTCAACGCTTGTGACTATGAAGAGGGATTCTGTGCATCACCGCCACATCTCCTCCTCAGGATTGCGGAAATCTCTGCTGCTTTCACTTCTCCCATACTCACTGGCATAAGAAAGTCATTAGTTTTGAAACTACTGCTGCATAATGATGCTTTCAAAATCCATCTGAATTGAACACTCCAGACCTGCCAAACCAAGAGTGGGAAGCCAGCTATCGGCAAGATGGTGATTCTGTCCAAGGTAACACGTCTTGCATACAGCTAAAGCAGTAATTGCCTTTCCCCAATAATATGTTCCCCCTGCTGAGCCTTATGGTTAAACTCATGTATTGAGAAACCTTCCAAAACGTTTGTACATCGTTTCAAACCACAGGAGAGGGGAAAAAAAAAAAAGAAAGGAAGGGACAACCACAGTTCAGATGGAGTTTATGACTTGTGCTCAATCTCATAATTGCAGGGTGAATCAGTGGGGAGTGAGGTTTTAGTCACTACCACACTCCCTGGTCTCATTGGCAGCAAGCTTTGTAGAGATCAGCTGAAAATGGTTTCCCCTTGACCCTCCCCTGACTTATTGATGAACCTCACCTCAGAGACTGCCTTGCCTTTCTTCTATGGATGCACAACCACGTCTGGATGGTCATGCACAATGGTTGCTGCACACTGCCTGCTCACATCTTCATTTGCCTGGTGCAAAAGCCAAGTGAACAATGGAGAGTGGAGGTATAATGCAAAACCCAGGCAGATACAGGGAGTGTCACAGATTGTTTTGCTGTATGAGAAGCAGAATCTTGCTTCAAGATGAAGCTCAGCCTTCTGCAGAGAGCAGACACAAAGCCTAGACACTGATTTGGAGAGAGGTCCTCCCATGCCACCGGCCCTCAGGATCAGAAAATTGATCCTGGTTCCTTTTACTGGTGTAAGAGTTGTCTCAGTTGCTCTGCAGTTGGAGGGTGGAGGTTTGCATCTGCAGCGAGTCACTGCCCTGCTCCTCCTGCCCTGAGGAACTGACTCCTCACACTGTCTGGTGAACTCAAGGGCTGGGACGGAGCGGAAGGAAGTGCACTACGGGAAGTTGAACAAAGACAGATGAACCACAGTGGAGATCAGGCTGACAAAATGCTAAGAAACAGATAACAGGCCAACTATTAGACATCACACTCAGTGCTCTCTTCTCATAGCAGGCTCTGGTTTGAAAAGGCCTGTAAGCAGCTGCTGGGATGAGGAGGGGATCCCACCCAGCCCCATGGCCCCCTTGCAGCAAGGCTGTTCTGCATGGGCCATGAGGTTGCTGTTTTGCATGTGTAGGTGTCTGGGCTCACTGCACACATCTTATCAAGCCCTATGCAAATACACACTAGACCCAGACCCACGCCGCAGGCAGGGTGCCTCATCTGCCTTTGATGTGTATCACAGTAACCCAGCAGTGATTTTATCACTCAGTGGGGGAAAAAAAAAAGGACCCCAAATCAACTACCAAAATGGAAACAAGTTTGTCTCAGCACTTTCTGTGTTTCGTTTTCAGCCTGCAATGATACACAGCAAGTGCCAGGTCCTGGCTGCTACTCGCACATCTGGACTGTGCTGTCCAAAAGGGACCAATTTGGAACCTCTTCTGTTGTTTGCTTCAGGAGGACAATTAACAGAGTAAGGGCTACCCAGCAGGCAAGCCTGCAGCTACTAAATTAGATGTTCAGTTAATCACTGCAAAAGAGTACTGAATGACAGAAAAGAGGCAGCAGCAGCAGCAAGGAAGTCATGACTGTGTGTAACAATGAAATTCATTTCCAGTCCTTGCAGAGCATTCCCCAGCGTTCCGTACACAGATTTTACCACCTGTGTTTTAGACCCCACAGCAGACTACGTAACTCCTGTATGGTTTTGCTTCATAAGGATGCAGTTGGTTACCGCAGGGGGTTGAAGCCATTCCACCACAGGGAAAACAAGGAATTTTGGTATATTTAACAAATAGAAGACAGGCTATGTGTGGCTGATTGCAGAAGTGACCAGGAATGAAGGACTGATAGATTGTTCAGGCAGGAAGGCGCTGCCTTGGCCATGCATGAGTATGTGCTGTGTGACATCCTGCATCACGGAGAACGCATCCTTCTGCCTGCCCTCAGAATGTACTTGCAGGATGTAGCTGGGTCACTGATGTTGCCTGCAGGGCACAGCAGGTTTGTAGGCCTGAACAAAACCAAATGAGGAATTTGAAGACAATGAAACCAATTAAAAGAAACTTTTAACATGCAAATTCCATCTCTGCTCCTTGATAATTTTACTCTTTGAGCTATTACATAAACTGCTTTTTGTCTCGTCAACAATAAAGCAGAAGCAATTAAGCAAAATGCAGTAAAACTTAAGCCAAATAAAATTAAAACAGACTCCAAGATTATTGTATAAACTCACTAAAATGACAAAGTGATCTTTCAAGCTGACATCACAAAAAGCTTCCAGTTTGCATTGGATAGAGAAGCGAGGAAAAGAAATGCTATGGAAAACATCTCCACGCAAACATCTCGCACAGGGAGGGAAGCTTTCTGGTGGCTGCGAGCTGCATTAACATCTATCCTCATGCAGAATTACAGTCCAAGCCCACAATAAGGCTCCCTCTATTTATACAGGCTTAGCAAAATGGGGCAATGAAGCATCCACTCCTGAATGTATTTGCACCTCTGGTCATATCTATATAGACACTGAACTAGGCAACAACACACAATGCTCAATAAACTAGGGAGGGATGCGGAGCTGTTGGAGCGAGGCCAGAGGAGGCCATGGAGATGCTGCGAGGGCTGGAGCAGCTCTGTTCTGGAGCC